CTCATTGCTTGGTATTTATCCGTTTGTGTTTTCTATATCCTCTTGGTTCAATTTTGGTAGTTCATAAGTATCTAGAAATCTACCCATTTTTTCTGGATTTTCCAATTCCTTGGAATGACTTTCAAAGTCATTCTTGTTTTTGTTCTCAAAGAATAAAATTTGTTTCATTAATCTTTGATTTTTAAAAAAATTTTCTAATGTATCAGTTTCAACTCTGATATTCATTATTTCTTTCCTTCTACAGTTTTTGGGAAAGGCTTGTTCTTCCAAGACCATAAGATGCATCATTAGGTTCTTTATTTGGGATCTGGTCATTGATGACGGGACTTCCTCTTCCTTTCTTTATGCTAAGGTTTTAGCAGGGTTAGGTTGTGTATAGAGTAAGGTATGTTGGGCTGGGGTTTTCAGCTGCAGAACATCTTCCCAATGAACTTGAAGGGTCACACTAGATTTCTAACAATTCACAAAAAAGAGGGAAATAATAATAACAACAGCAGTGAATGATATACATTAATGTAAATGCCAGGTGTCAACTATGACATCCACAACACTTAAAATCACAAAACTAGAATTAGTAATAATAATAATAATAATTTAGCATTAATAATAACAATATTTATGACAGCAATAATAACAAAGAGCAATTAAATAGATATGCATTAAAGTATAAACCAGATGTTGATTATAACATCTAAGATACTAATAACTACAATAGTATGGATGGTGGGGACAGAAATTTCATAAACTAGGTAATTTTAATAGATTACAAAAGTACAGTTTAATTAAAAAGAAGAAAATGTGACAAAAGACAAAAGAAAGTCTCAAATTTTAAAAATGTAAAAAAGAGATAAAGAAGAAGAGAGAGGTTAAAAAAAGAAAAAAAAAAAGAGGGCTAGAAAATAAAAGCCATAAAGCAAGAACAAAAGGGGGAGAGAAGAAGAGAAAGAGTAACAAAAAAGCACATTAATTCTCAAAAAACAAAGCAAAATATTAAAAGTCTAGTAAAAAGTAATAATGATAAAAAGCAAACAAGAAGAAAATATGTGCATATATGTACATGCATATGTTCACATATTTTTCATATATATGTATATATATATATATATATATATATATATATATATATATCTACATACATATATTTATACACATATGAACAATTAGCAACTACAACAACAAAAATTCTAAGTGAAAAATAAAACATTATCTCTGCTGAGGTAGTTGGAACTGTGAACAGGGATGGGCACTCACTGCTTGTGCTAGATTGACCTTCTCTTCTTTCTGGTTCTTCTTGGGCTTCTTGTTTCTTACAGAGAGAAAGGACTAGAGGTTGTTTTCCACATTTCTGTGTTGCTCTCTATCTGGCATCTGTAGTGGCCTGGGACTGAGGCTGGTTGAAAATTTACTACATCTTTCTGAAAATTGCTGTATTAAAATTTGGTTTCAATGATAAGCCTTTATCCTTGTCTCTTTTAAATTCTGCTGTGTCCTGTCTTTATTGTTGGCAAGCTCACCAGTCTCTACGCTATTTTATATATATATATATATATATATATATATATATATATATATATATATATATATATAAACTCATCAAGATTCTCTTACCCTCCATAATCTCCCTAAGTTTTTGTGTCTGAGTTTACAGCCTCGGCTGCTACTTGTATATAAATTTCTAAAGAATGTCTCCAATCCAGAAGTTATTTTTTATCTTGAACTATTTATCTCATATTCACTTGAATTTTTTATTTGGATATTCAAAGTTCTCACATCTTTTTTGTTTTTGTTTTTTGCTGTTCATTTATTTTTCTTAAGCTCCATTTACTTCTTTATAGTTCAAGCTATGGAATTTTCTTGTTTGAATCACTGAAGTAATGTCCTATTCTGTTCTCATAGATATCCTGCTACCACAAACAGCATTCTCCATTTAAATAAATATAGTTACAAAGTAAATTTTCTGCTTAAACTATTTGTTTTTCTACCGAGTTAGTATATATTATATGCCAGATAGGTGCCACACTCCAAGTACAAAGAACATATGGTAAGCAAACAGAAAAATTCCTCAGTTGAATAGATTTTACAGTCTGAAAGGGAAAACCTTATAGTACAACACACATTCATATATACAAAATGAATTGTAAGGTAGAATATATGTTTCAGAGGCTGGGCTTGGTGGCATATGCCTTTAATCCCAGTGGCTCTAGAGGCTGAGGCAGAAGGACCACAATTCAAAGCCAGCTTCAGCAATTTAGCAAGGCCCTAAGCAATTCAGTGAGAGTCTCTCTCTCTCTCTCTCTCTCTCTCTCTCTCTCTCTCTCACACACACACACACACACACACACACAAAGGGCTTGGGATGTGGCTCAGTGACTCAGTAGTTAAGTGCCCTTGGGTTCGATCCCTGGTATATATATATTAGAGAGAAAAGAGAAAAAAAAAATAGGGAAAAGTGCAGTGCTCTTTTATTTCTTGGTGGCTTCTCTGTTGAAGCAAAATTTGAGAAGGATGGCAATAAAGGGAGAAGATAAAGACATCTGCATTTGGAAGAAGAACATCTCAGCAATAAGAATAGCTAGATAAAGGTCCTGATTGGGAGACATTCTTGGCTGGAAAAATGAATTGCCAGTCAGTAAACCAAGGTAAAAAGCATCATGGTGAGAGTTTGGAAAGAGCAGGGGATGCAAAGAGGATGGTACAAAATGAGGGAAAGTTTCTTAAAGCTAGGGAAGAATTCCAGATTTTAAACTAAGGGCAGTGTGACACACTGGATAATTGTGAATAGGCAACACTAAGTTATGGATTTATATTTTAAGGCAATCTCTTAGACTATTTACAGATAAAAAGATTTTAGGAACACAAAAACAAAAGCAGCAAGACAAATTAGGAATAATGCAATGACTCAGAGAAACAGATATGACCTAGGGTGGAAAAATGAAGGTAAAAATGTGAATAAATTAAGCAGATATTTTGATAGTTAAATACAGAGACATTTTAATGCATTAGGTGTGTGATATAAGAGAATGAGAAGCAAGAAGAATGATTATAAATATTTTTCTTGAGCAATCAACTGAATTATTATACAATTGCTGGAGGAGGGAACAAAGACAAGTCTTGGGGAGGTTCGAAAGTGCTGTCTTGAAGTGTTAAGTTTGTGGTGCCTAGCAGACACATAAAGTGCATTGGTGACTGTGCAGGCAGGCATGTTAGCCAGGAACTCAAGGATGAGGCTGGAGTTAGAGATCTAAATTAGCCATCCAATAGCAAATACATGGTATTTTTTAAGAATGGGACTAAATATGATTGCACCTTAACAAAAATAAGTATTAAAGTCTAACTGGCCAGGCAGTCTGAAACTGACTCTACAGAAGCCACCAGAAAATTGGACATACTAATATGTACACATTGTATAAATACATAAATGAATTCATTTCCATAGAAATTGTAATACAGAGTAAGTTTGATCAAAAAGAATAGGAATTGTTTCTTTTTCTTTCTCCTTCCCCAACCCCCAACCCCCACCTTTGTTTCTTATTTATTAGATACCCACTGTTGATCCAGGTCAGCAGGCCAAAACTTTAAGACAAGCCTTTGACAGCATCCTATCTGATAAAGTACTAAAATTTCTGTAAAGGAGAAATAATACCACAATTCCTCACTTCACATTTGACTCCAGTATACACGACTCTTTGAGAGTCATTGAAATATGTGTATCCACTTCTAGTGAGAGACATGACATATGAGTTACAATTTTGTAAGACAAGGAACTGGATATTTAAACTGCTCTACAATTATAGGCATTTATCATTAAATTAGAGAAGCATAGATTAGTATAAGTGTAGTATCATTCCTAAATCACCTGAAATTATTAACAATTTCATAATGTCTTGTATTTATTGCAGTTAATCAATTTTTCTTAATTTACTTAAGTATTATAGTACATATGTGTTCCAAATTTCTCTTCAGTGGTCTGCAGGTGCCAAGAGTTTGAGAAATATTGCATTAATGATTGGTTTAATTTGTGAAACAACTATTTCAATATACTCCAGTAGTGTGTAACTAAAATACTATCACTTACCCATTCTCTTGGAATATATTCTTTGTTTATGAAAAACCAAAGTATTTGATGATTGAGAAAAATAGCGCTTTTCCAGGATCCAAAAACCACATGCAGCTTCTATCAAATTCTTCATATATTTAGCTGATAATAAATGCCAGGTTGTAGTTGAGTCAGGGGTTTTAAAAATAAATTTCATATATGATCCATCAAAGAATACTTTTGTTAACAAAAATAAATACATTGACCAATTATTCTAAAAGATGTTAAATCCACTTTAAAATAATTATGTATGGTAATTTCTCTCCTTTGTGAGAAATAAATGTTTTGTACTAAATCTTGTAGGGTGCCCCTTTTTTCCTCCATAGAATTAAGGAAAAGAAGAACAAGAATTAAAGGAAATATTCATATGGTAACGGATTAGGAGATTGGACCCAGGGACACTTAACCTTTCAGCCATATCCCCAGCACTGTTTTGATAGGGTCTTTCTGAGTTTTTTAGGACTTCACTAAGTTGCTGAAGCTGACCTTGAAATCATGATTCTCTTGCCTCAGCCTTCTAAGCTGTATTTCTATTTATTTGAATTCAAGATCTCTCCTTCCCTTAAAGATAGTCATAAGAATATTTGTGGAAAAACTGTATTCAACTTTTTCTAATAGAAAACTATAACGTATTGAAACCATCCCCATTTTTTAACTTCTAAAATGCTTTCAACTAATCAGTTAGGCATGAAATTCTTGAAATAAAACATGCCTTCAAATCTTTCTCTTCCTAAACCTGAAAATAAAAATTGCCAACTTCAGGGGAATTTGCAACACTAAAAACTAATATTTTATAGGAGTTCAATGTAACAATAAAAAATGGTAGATATGTCTAGAAACAGAAAGAAGGTTCATTAGATTTCATGTTTAATTTAGCCACAATCTATTTAAGAGAATCATATGAATACTTACCTGGCAGGGGAGATGCCATGGTCACAAAGGTGATTTTTCCAGGATTAGGTTTATCCATTACACTCCAGATAGGCTGACCCCTGTGATTTTCCCAGATGTAAAAGCTGGCAGCATAGTTTTTGGTAGTGGGGGACTACGTGTGTTTGTGCTTTCCCATGTCTAAAAAAAAAAAGAAAGTAAGAAAGAACAGAATGAATGAACAGAAAGAAAATCACATGAAAAGAAGTTTCTAAATTAATGGGTTAATCTATATTTCCTCAAAAATGCTTCCAAAGAGCAGAATCTTTTACTTTTATTTTATTTCAGTATCTCCTCTAATCTTCCAATTTGGGGATTTTTAATCTGATTATGATTAGGTTTATAAAGATATAATCATATTACCTTAGTTGTCAGACAAAAATGAACCACGAAAGCAAGGTTTCAGTTTGTAGCATTTTCTTTACTAGAAAATTCATCATCATATCTCATACCTCAGCTATGAAGAAGGATGAGGGAGGAAAAGAAGGAAGCCAAGTAGAAGGGAAGGGATGGAGAAAGGAAGGAAAGCAAGGAGAGGGAAAAAGTCCAAAGAAGGGGGGAAAAAAAGGCTTCTTAGTCTGGTTCATTATAACTATTTTTTGATTTGGGTCTAAAAGTTAATATAAATATCAGGTAAAATCCATTGGACTCATTTTTCTTATATTAGTAAGTGCTCATATTCAATTGTCTAATTTAGAATTTCACTGAAATATCTACAAATAAAGCTATGCATCTCAGTGATAATAGTTCTAAACTGCATTAAGCACCTAATCTGCTTACTATAACTTTATAGCCCAATAGCAATTTTGAAAAGTGGTCTTTATTTCGGAAATTCTAAAAATTTAAAAGCAGCAGCTACCAACAACAGGATGGCTTTGGAATGAAGTGGATAATAACAATCTTTCAGGAACCAAATTAATTAGCTGCCACACTTTCCTAAGGAGAAAGTTTATACTTGCACATTTCTCAGAAGATATTAATTTGACAAAAGGACCATGACTAAACAACTTAGCCTGCTTAGGATCATTTAACAGGGTATAATGAAATAGAACCATATATTGATAGACTGAATTTCTTTTGCTAGGAGTAGACAATATTCTCATACTACAAATAGAAGACATTTGTAGAAAGATCCCATTACTTAAAATTCCTCTAGGGTTCTTTTTATTTTATTTGCTAGAAAATATAATTTCAAAATAATTCCAAAGCAATATCAATTTTCAATTATTAATAGATAAGGTTGAAACAACAATAACAGTTTGAAGAAGAAAGACAAATGCAAGGGAAATATTTTCTGTCCCATCTTTAATTCCCAGACTTTCAAAATCTTCACTGTAGTACTTAAGAATTGGATTGAGGAATTTAATGATATTTTGTAAGAATATTTTCAGTACCCATACAATACAAATTTAGTGAACATACATATAATTGTTTGAAAGAGTTTGGCTTAGAATTTCAAGATGAAATAGTTCTTTTAAAATATAATCAAGGAATTTTAGAGCTACTTTCTTTTAAGACAGTGTTCTAAACTATGAAAGGCTAAGTGACAGGAAGACTGCCTTAAGATCTTTTAAGAGAGGCAAAATGATTTGATGTTTCCCAAGTTCCAACACAGTTGCTTATGAATATGATTCTTGCATTTGCTTATAGAGTATTTATTGTAACTTCACACAGGAAATTACTATGCATCAGTATCCTCCTAGATGGATCCAATCATAGTAGTGCTTTAGTATGTTTGTAAATAATTGACTTAGAACCAAGCTTAGTTTAGTGCATGGAAAGCAATTAAAAATATAGCATAATATGTAAATATATACTATATAATAGTAATATGCTACATTTATACATACATTCCTATCCTGGTTTTTGGCATATGTGTGTATGCATGTGTGTGCATGTATATGTGTTTATGTATATATTTGCACACACATATATACATATGTATATATAATATTGAACATTTTCTTTTTAAATAACTGTTGGCCAAGAGATGACAGTTGATATATTTTTAAAGAGATGAATCTGAACAATAAATGAAAAATAGAAAGCTCAAAGAGTCTCAAGTCATATAACTAAATAATAATGAAATCAGGGAAATGATTTGAAGCCTTTTTTAATAGTTAGGTAAGAAATGACATTAGTTTTATAGCACTACGAAGGTGAGAAACAACATTTGGCATGTCTTTTGGCATTAGGATCCATAGTCCATAACCATGCAGTTATTGTTTAGACACAGTAGAGAGGTTTATTGCATGGCATTGTGCATGTATAGAATGCTTCTCTGTACAACTAAGTGTGTAGTTGCTTTTTATTATTCTATTTGGTTTCTATTGGAACCACTAGAGTAGGAATGCTGATGCTAGCTTCTAACATGCTGGCTTTTAGTTTCAAGAATAAATTTCAAGTCGAGTGCAGTGGAGCACCTCTCTGGTCCCAGCAGCTCTGGAGTCCAAGGCAGGAGGACTGTGAGCCCAAAGACAGCCTCAACAACTTAGTGAGGCCTTAAATAATTCAGTGACTCCCTGTCTCTAAATAACGTACAAAAAAGGGCTAAAGATGTTGTTCAGTGGTTAAATGCCCCTGAATTTAATCCCAAGGTACAAATAAATAAATAAATAAAAATAAAAAATAAAGAGAGAGAGAGAGAGAGAGGGAGAGAGAGAGAGAATTTCAAACAGGGAGATAAAGTATGTTTGGATACAGATATACATTTGGAAGTTCTTTGGCATACAGTGGTAATTTAGAGCATTTTAGGAAAAGTGTGGATTCGAAAAATTCATGCAAGATAAGGCTTTGAAGAACTCCAATATATTAAGCACAGTGAAAGAGTTAGAGGCAACCAAAGGGACTGAGAACCTTGAAAAGAAGATTAGAAGGAATAGTATTAGGGAGTGATCAAGTAAAATAAGAAGTTTAGCTGTGCATATTAGTCCATGATAGGAACATGTGACTGTCCCTATTATATCAGATGGGTAGAAGGTTACTAGAATTCCAAATTCAGTTCAATTAGAAGGTGTTATAGAAAGATGAAGTAGTTAGTGTCCAATATCTTTTATATTCTCAAGGATGTGAGCAAATTAATGAGAGTAAATGGAAAATCCAAGGTTAGAGAATCTAGGAAATAGAAAATTTGATATCTTTTTAAAGAAAAAAAAAGGTAAATTATATTAAAGAAATGAGTGGAATTTCTAAATTCATTTTAGTGTGCAGTTAAGTTTATTAATCATGATTTCATGGTAGGACTAGAAATTTGAATGATTTTTATCTAGTCTGTGAGTAGTCACAGAAATGTCTTTTAGCTTCATTAATTCAGGATATGATAAAATGAAATGGATAAAGGACTTTAAGAATTGGCAACCAAGTAATAAACTATTTAATATAAATTTAGTGTAAGTTAAATGTGGAGAATATACTTCTAAGGGACTTTGAGTGTATTTAAAAAATAGTAATTGAAATTAAGATCTATACATTTTAAGGGAGTTAAAATACGTGTTGTGTGAGGGTCAAAAGAATTCAAGAGAATATGAGTATCAAGATTGTTAGGTGCAGGACAGGCTGAGTAAGCTGTCTGCAGGGCATGCCAAACAAAGTTAGCTGCAGGGTGACCCGGTCACTCAAACCCTCTGTCTGGCTCTTTATCACCTGTTTGCTTCAAGCCCAAACGCCCAAGCCCCCCGCTCAAGGCTGAACACATAACCCCCCTTGTGCCAACAAGGCAGCTTGCAGACCCAGAGACCCCATTAGATTTTGGCTATAAAAACTCCCTCCTGCCGGGCCCCTCTCTCTCTTGCTTTCTCTCTCTTGCTTTCTATGTCTCTCTCTTGCGTGCGATTCCTCTCTCTCTCTCTCTCTCTCTCTCTTTCTCTTTCTCTCTCTTCTCCTCTGTTGCACTGCTGCAATAAAGATCTCTTGGTTGCTCTGAGTGTTGTGGTCACTTTCCTTTCAAAGGTGTAAAAGAAAGAATGAGAATTCTTGAGCAAAAAATACTAGTAAAATGATTTGATGTCAGTAATCTATAGGTTTTTAATTAAATAGCTGAATTAGAGTATTCAATAATGTCTAGATTATAAAATTTCAATAAAACCCATGGAATTAGTCCTCAAGTTATATTTAGCACAAGGTCTTAGAAACATAACTGTTCATATCACTTTGGTTGACAGTTTTATTAAGAAAATTGTAAATTTATATGTAATTGTATGAAAGAATAAAGAGAGCTTACATATACTTTACTCAGTCTCTCCTAAGGAACACTATGAAACTACAGTGGAATAACACCATCATGATAGTGAAATTACACAATCCACAAATCTAATTCAGACTGCCTGGATATTACATGAAGTCATTATGTGTGTATGCACAAGCACATATACCTCACATGTATATTCAGCTTTTTACAGATTTATCTCATGTATAAGCTTGTGCATGTAATCCCAGCAGTTTGGGATGCTGAGGCAAGAGGATTGTGAGTTCAATGCCAGCCTTAGCAACTTAGTAAGTGATTTGGCAACTCAGCAAGACTCTGTCTCTAATTAAAATATTTAAAAAGGGGTCTGCAGGTGTAGCTCAGAGGTTAACAATTCTACCACCACAAAATCCCTCATAGTCCCCTTTTATAACCATGTCCAATACTGATCTCCATCCCTGATTCCCAGTACTAACTTCTATCCCTGATGTTCATCTAAAATTTAATCTTTTCAAAATTCTATGTTAAGGGATTGGCTCTTTTCACTCAGTATAATACCCCAGAGATTCATCCAAGTTGTTGTTTCAAATATGTGGTTCTTATTATTGCTGAATGGTAAGGTCTGTGCAAACTACAATTCATTTTTATTCATTTAGCTTTATTCACAATTTATTTCTTATACACAAAAATTTTATCAGCAAATAATGGAAGTTATTCTTTCTTTTCTATTATCATACCAATTTTCATTCTTATAGCCATTAGTCTGTATATTCAGAATGATAATAAATAGAAATACTAAAAGCGGGCATTTATTGCCTTACTCTCAACCTCAGAAGACTAATTTTCAGTAATTTACCATTAAATAGAATATCATATAGAGTTTTGATAAATATTGTTCATATTATCAGAAAGTTTCTTTTTGATCTAATATTTAAAGAATTTTTGTAATGATTTTAT